GACAAAGAGCTTTGATGAGATGAGCTATCAACGCAAGTTGTACAAGGGTGAAGCAGAAGTGATTTGTTATGTAGATAAGTAAAAGTAAATGAAACTTATTTTAAACTTAATTTGTATTGTTCTCTGTATGATGTCGGACAGCGTCTTTGTTAAAGCCATATGCCAACACCAAGGTAAATAAACCTTTTGCATTCGGTACACCTGATAGTTTTCTAGTAATAGGAATCTGTATTACGGAAGTCGGTAGGTGCCAGGTAGAAAATATATTTTATAATTATCTGGCGGCCGCCACATAAATAACTGTCGGCCGCAAAATAATTATCTGGCGGCCGCCAGATAAAATATTTTTTTCTACCTGGCACCAACAGGCTTAGTACTGCATGGAGTGGACGAACTTAATAATATGGCGAATTGAAATAGATTGATCGAATGTGTGTTGTTTTAGGTCCCGTTCAAGAATTTTTGCCTATGTTGAAACCATATACCGGTGAAGGGTTTCAAAATTGGACCTTTTCTCGGCACTCGGGGTCATTGAGCAGTGAGAATTCTTTTTCGTGCCAACGCCTACCGTGACACGGGGCTTCGGTTTTTAAGGTCTCATCCGAAGGACCCGCATTTTTCACTTCAAAGTGCCGAGCGTCTGGCGAAGAAACAGTTGCTACTTATTTTTTTTTATCGACTCAGGTCAGTCGAGCCCATAATTCGAACAGACGACCTTTCGATCAAATTGAAATAGATGACGAACACATATCAAGGTCAAAAAGTTCATTAAACAAAAAAATCTGGAGTAGTGCAAACACGAACCTCTAAAAGTATCTGAGGTTGAATCAAGTGCCATGGACAAGTAAGCATTCCCTGTCGACTAGTCACAGGCACCGTGTGTTCCTTGTCATGATCGGGCAATCGGAAAAATCCATAGATAATTTGTGTAAAAAAAAACAAAACAAAACAATTAGTATGAAAAATGTATACATCAATTGCAGCACCCAATAAAAATAATCTCTGGAGATATAAATAAACATCGAGAGAGGGGGAGGGGGATAGTCTACATAAGCAGCCCATTACCGCACCCAATTTACATGTAACACATGTAATAATACATGAAGAATTTTTAAAGTTTTATGTGGAACACCCTATCACCTCACCCGATGAAACACGCCCATAAAAAATTGGGGGGGGGGATAGTTTAGTGGTTCATTAATACAACAAACTAGACACTAATAAAGGTTTATATTTTCAAAATTCTACACTTAAAGCAGTCATTATTGCTGCACAAAAACGACTTGCACAAGAGATTATACAAGAAATTAAAGAAAACAAAATTCTGCACATGTAGCGAATTAACACATTAGACTTGAACCCACGCAGGAAATTTTATGAAATGCAGTTCATAGTTTTATAACTTTGACAATCAAGGTTTTCACCGATTTCCTTCAACCAACTTTTGCATGTGGAATCTCCAGGGTGTTTGGTTCTCATTAACAAGTTTGTAATTTTGTGCAGGCTTTTGTCTTGGACCCTTTGTGCTACTATAGAATTACTTTTATGCTGTTGATAGATATTATCCTTCCGACTTGGGGCTATCCACCTGCATACCTTGACAAGTCGAGAAAGACATACTCTCCAACCTTTATGTATTTTCATGGGCCATAGTTAGATTTCTTTATTCTAATGACAATCTACAATATATTGCCCTTTTCACTTGTGTGTTTTTTTTACTTGAGAGACATCTGACCCTGAGATTTATTAACATATGTACATTAAAATACTGAGATTGGCTCTTGTATTTGGAATTTCTGCATCTATTGTTTTTAAGTTTAAAAGTTAACAAAAAGCTTGACTGGTATTTTACTTCTCATCTCCAATAAACAAAAATTTTAGTTTTTTGGCAACACCTATAGGTTATCAGAATATGTGCTTTTTCTGTCATGAAACCTTGACCAATTCCAAGACATTTTCTGCCTACAGAATTGCTTTCTCATCGAGCAAAATAGTATGAAAAATATTTCATCATTTTCAGAATGTCTGTTTTTCGTCACGTGTATTAATGTTATCTTCCATAAGCTCAACCAAGACTTTCCATGTGTATGAAACTATTTGATTGAATTGATGAAAAAATTAACACAGATATGGACAGTGTGGTCAACATGCTAAACACCGAATCCTTTTTGGTGGTTTTCACATGGAAGACAATGTGTATTTAACGATTCCAAGTTGGCATCTTTCCTCTCATTGTGGGATCCACTGAAATACACAACTTTGTTTTAACAGTGTTTTGGGTACAGAAGTATCTGCTCTGCATTTCTTCCAAATTCAAATGCGTACAAGCTCGAGTCTTACTCTAGAACAAATACATGTTGCCAACTTAAGCAATAATTGGCTTTTTAGTAATCTGCGATTCTAAGATTTAAGAAGTATATTTTTTTTTCTGAATGACACGTAATCTATATTTAAAAAAATTCTGAAATTACTTTATAGTGTATCCATCCTTTTTTACGAAATTCTTTAACTTTGTTTATTTGGGCACTTGCTTAAATTTTCTCAAGGAGGTTACTTTTAGTATTTTGGAATCACGAAATATGTATGTTTTACAAGAAATTAGCTTCAGCTTCAGAAAATGGGGCCATTGTTGATGAGTCTTAAAATATTTGTCTTTCTTGTGCTTACAACTGTAAAGTTTTGGAATAGTTTCCATTTTTCATTAGCACATAAAATCCATGATCAGATTAAGTTCATTCATCCCTGTCAAATAGGGCTATAAGAATCTTCTCTGGAAACAAGTCACACGACACGGGTGTTCCTTCTAGAATTTTGTTAAACTCTGCAATTTGGGTCCTCATGAACCCGTATATTTTCAGACTATGTTCTCGATTTCCTTTACAGAGGGTAAACTGCCATTATGATATGATTTTTCTGTATACTGGTCCAGGAACACTCCATGGATTTTCCCCTGGGACTGGCTTATGTTCTGGCATAGAAAATACATGAAAGCCAGTCTCCCTGAAGTAGATTTGTCTAACCTTCAATATCTTCAAATATATATACTTAAAAAATATAGTCTCTTAATTATATTACCAACTGATTAATGTTTCAATGATTAAATATCTTTCCTTTAAAGAAGAAAAATAATTACAATCATCAGAGGAAGGCTTATTAAAAAAGAGGATTCAGTCAATAAAAATTGTTCCAACATCGAAGTCACTTACCAGACGTTAGAGAGGGCTTGGGGCATATGCGATGATTCCACCCTTTCACAAAGCTCACATTCAACCCATTTAATCTTTTGAAACTGCCCAGGAGCATTATAGCACAGGAGTTCACATACCTATCAATTTTACCGAAATTTTTAGTAAATAAAAAAAAATACATAATACCTATAATAATAACACAAGGAGTGCAACGCATTCCAGGTCACCGGGGAACCCCTCTCTTAATATCGAGGCTGCCGTGCAATCAATTTTCAATCGAAAATTATAAAACACAAACCATTCTTTTCGGAAGGAACCATTCTTTATGTCTGTTAATGCATATGACTTGAAATGCCTGTTTAACAGCAGTAGCAGTGACATTCCTCAACGACTTTGCTGAAACGTAGGTTGTCCGCGACGCCATTACGTGACGTAATACGGGCGCGTCGCTTTACCCAAAAGGAACATATAATGCCTGAAATGAACAATCATATACAATATGATACCAGAGATAAAGCTTTTACCTTGAAATACGGGTACTTGTTTGTCTATTGTGAAATATAAATAAAATATATAAAACATTTTACATTAATAATTTAGTAGAATTGTGGGGCATTATGCGGAAGGGGGGGAGGGGTCAATACACAATTTATTATTAATAAATCTAAATTTTTATGTATTGATGGAACAATAAGTGAGTAATTTAGGGGGATGACATCATCTTAGTAGTAGATTACTCCAGGATAGCCGGGTCTATCCTGGAGTATAGGGGCCTTTATAGCCTGTAAAAAAATGGCAAAAATGCAAAATCCGCTGGCCGGGGCTATCCAGGCGTATAGGGGCCTTTATAGCCTGTAAAAAAAAAGTCAAAATAAGAAAGTCTATACAGGATACCGTATCAAAAAATCCAAAATCCGCTGGCCAGGTCAATTAAGTGCACTTTTTTTCTCACCCTTTTTTTTAAACAAAATCCAAAAAAAATCCCAAAAAAATTTCAACAAAAACCTTTTATTATTGATCCAATACAATACAATACAATACAATATGAAAACAAGATCAGAGAACCGTCCTATTACAACACGAAAATCACATTTCTTTTATCACTCTCTCTGTTTTTTTTCCTTTTTATTTATCCTTACGAATCTCAGCCATCACTTCTTCTTTAAACACAGCCAAATCATCTGTTATGATTTTTCTAAACTCACAGTTATCCTTCTGAAGTTGTACCATTAAATCAGTTGATTTCTCTTGATCCTGAATCATTTGTCTTATTATACAGGCTATTTCCTTCTGGTTCTCTTTCAGAATTAGAATTATATCACATATATCCTCTAGGATTTTTTTTATCCCTTTTCTTTCCTGTAGTTCAATACCAGCCATTATTGTTGCCAAGTCAAACATATCATTCAGAGTCTTTGAATTTTCTTCTTCCATCTTAAGGTTTGGTTTAAAGTCCCTGACTAAAAAATAAGACTGATCCTATATACTCTCAGGTCTGGTTTATATACCTTTCTAATCCATTCTATTTTTAGTCTCTACTATTTTTTTTAGTTTAATCTATTTTTAATCTCCACTAATTTTTATAAGTTTAAAACTATTTTTAGTTCTTTTGTAACTCTAATTATAACACCACGAGATCTTATTCTTAAAACACCTGTGCAGTAGTGCCGTGTGCAAAAAAAAAAAAAAGTTCCTCCTACTTAAAATCTTGGCACCGATCCAAATCACAGCTACCTATGCATTGTGACGTCATCTATTGTATAAAAACCGTCTTCTTTTGACTTTCAGCTCATTCTGTTGTTAAAAATAATCATGGATCCTTTCACACAACAACTTAAGAAATGGAAAAAAAGACAGAAAGAATTAGATAAAATTCTTCATAACAATAGAGATAGAGAATTAGATCTTAGAAAACGAAATGCCTTGTACTTACAAAGAATACAGAAAACCAATCGTCATCAACAAGTACAAGCCTTACGTCATGTAAATGAAGAAGAACAACCAAGTTCTTCATCTCATTTACCATCACCTCATTCACCACCAGGGAAACCGAAACCCATTTCTCAGTATTATAAAGTGAGATTAGATTCCACCAGACATTCCAGAAAATTTAAAGCCCAAGAAAATAAATACAATATCAATTTTGAGGAATTTCCAGAAGAAGAAAACAAAGGATTTGTTCGGCGATTATTTAGAGACATGTTAAAAACGGTTAAATATGAAATGCAGTGTAATCCTAACGATTACTTACGCTTGAACATACGTCATCCTTCTCTGAAATCTGAAATCTGGTACGAGTTTACTCAATGTAAACATTTGAACGAGGAGGTCATTTTAAACAAAATAGAAGCCGTTCAACAATCTAAAAAAGATTTTAAACTGGGAGACGGGTCTATGGAATTCGACATGTTTCATGTGAAATATCCAGAAGGAAGTGGTGGAAATAATACCAAACACCTGATGATCAATAAGGACACTTTCCTTAAAGGAAAAAAATCTATCGTTCAGATCGATAATCCCTGGGATAAGATGTGTTTAGCTAGAGCTATTGTCATCACCCGGTTACACAGTGAAAAACCAGAAAATCCCGACCTCGAATGGGAAAAAAGATGGAAACGTATGCGGATAGGAGATGTAAGGAGTAATGATCAGGAAAATCAAGCTAAAGCTCTCATGGAACAAGCCGGGTGTGATATTCATCAATCTTGTGGACCCGAAGAATGGGGGAAATTACAACAAGTGTTATATCCTCAATATCGACTGAAAATATTTCAGATCAAGTCTATGTCTTCTAAATTCTCCTTAGAACCTATCTACAAAGGGAATGGACAAGGAATTTCTTTAAACATTTTGTTAGAAGATCATCATTACCATGCCATTTTATCCATGCCTGGTATCACAGGATGTCAATATTATTGTGATCATTGTGATGTGGGGTATAGAAACATCACAGACCATCGATCCAAATGTCCTTTTCGATGTGATTTTTGTTTATCTTACCCTCCATGCCCTAAAGACGGGAGCCAGATTTCATGTCCTCATTGCCAGGGATTTTTTAAGAATAGAGGTTGTTATGAAAATCATTTACGACCTTACAGTAAAAATACGACAACAACCATTTGTAATTTAATGGGACGATGTGACCAATGTCAGAAATGGATGCCTAAAAAATTATTATCTCATCACTTATGCGGAGGACGGAAACAATGTAAGATCTGTAAGAAAATTGTACAGAATGATCATCAGTGCTACGTTCAACAGAAACCTCCCAAAAAGAAGAAGGGAAAAGAGACATTACAGATTTACATTTATTTCGATTTCGAATGTACCCAGGAAAACGGCATTCACATCCCTAATCTGTGTGTAGCACATCGGGTCTGTCAACATTGTGGGCATTTACCCATTGAGGATCCTTGTCCTCATTGTCGGCACATGGGACCCCGTCAACATGTGTTTCAAGGATTAAATACCTTAAAAGACTTCATGGACTGGTTATTACAACCCATCAGCAAAGGAAATAAGAATGGTACTTTATTACACGACGAGGCCATCATCATTGCTCACAATTTCAAAGGATATGACGGACAGTTCATTTTAAATTACCTGGTGCATTCTGCTTGCATTAAACCCACCGTCATCCAGAACGGGAGTAAAATCTTATCCATGGAAATCCTTGGATTGAAATTCATCGATTCTTATAATTTTTTACCTTTTGCTCTGTCCAAGATGCCTTCCGCTTTTGGATTCACCGAACTGAAAAAAGGGTATTTCCCCCACTTTTTTAATACGGTACAGAACCAGAATTATGTAGGGCCTTATCCACCTGCGTCATTCTACAATCCGGACGACATGACTATTAATGGACGACAAGCTTTTTTCCAATGGTACGATCAACAAGCTGGAAAAGTGTTTGATTTCCAGAAGGAATTTTTAGAGTATTGTATTTCCGACGTCGATATTTTACGACGATGTTGTGCTCAGTTTAGAGCCACCCTCAAGAATTTAGTGAATGTAGATCCCTTTCAGGAATCTATCACTTTTGCCAGTGCAGCCAATTTAGCTTACCGTCGAGGATTTATGCCCGAAGATACCATTGCCATCATTCCTAACCTGGGATATCAACCTGCTCGTCAATATTCGGCCAAAGCCTGTCGGTGGTTAACCTTTTTGAGTCAACAGAGTGGATCTCACATCCAGCATGCGAGAAACGGGGGAGAAGTCAAGATCGGGAGTTATACTGTAGACGGATATCAGGAAGATAACCACACCATCTACGAATTTTACGGATGTTATTGGCACGGATGTCCCACCTGCTTTTCCAATCTACAGACCGAAACTCATCCTCACCAACCCCAATGGACTTACCAACAATTATATGAAGAAACTTTAAGAAGGAAATCAGTCTTAGAGCAATTTGGTTACTCTGTCACCTCTATCTGGGAGCACGAATTCGATCAACAAGTGCAAAGAGATGAAGTTTTACAGAATTTTTTATCAGACCTCAACATTTCAGATCCTTTAAACCCCCGAGAGGCTTTGTATGGAGGTCGGACCAATGCTACACGATTATATTGTGAGGAAGGAGAAATGAGATACATAGACGTTTGTTCTCTGTACCCTTACGTGTTAAAACACAGACCTTTTCCTGTAGGGCATCCTCAAATCATTACCGATCAATTCCAAGACGTCAGATCCTATTTTGGACTCATTCATTGTCGGGTCTTACCACCTCGAGGCCTCTATCACCCCGTTTTACCTTATCGCACAGGAGGTAAGTTATTATTTTCCTTATGCCGAACATGTGCAAAACAACAAGACCCTAAACATCGATGTCGACACAATTCCCGTGAACGCAGTCTCACAGGTACCTGGGTGACCACCGAATTACACAAAGCCTTGGACATGGGGTATACTTTAGAGAAGATATACGAAGTTTGGCATTTTCCAGAAAGCAGCACAGATTTATTCAGACCTTACATCGATACTTTTTTAAAGATCAAACAAGAAGCGTCTGGATTTCCACCGGAGTGTCAGACGGAAGAACAGCAATTAAATTACATTCGTCAAGTGTTAGAAAAAGAAGGGATTAGAATGGATTGGTTAAGTATTGAAAAAAATCCAGTGCGAAGAACCATAGCTAAACTTTTTTTAAATTGTTTGTGGGGAAAATTTGCTCAACGTCTGTTATTACCAAAAACGAAATACTTAACGGAAGAAGAGGAATTACATCAACTCTTACAAGATTCCAGAATTGAGATTAAAGGGATCCAACTCTTAGAAAATAAAGAAAATCCGGAATTAGATATGATGTTAGTCAATTATCAAGACAAAAATCAATTTGTAGAAGAATGTCCCTTTGGAAACATAATACTGGCCTGTTTCACTACCGCTCATGCCAGATTACACCTCTACGAGACTTTACAACCTTTAGGAGATCGGGTGCTTTATTTCGATACGGATAGTATCATTTACCAACATAAGGAAGGACAATTTAATCCGATTCTTGGAAACAGTTTAGGAGAATGGACTGATGAATTGGACGGGGATCACATTATCAAATTCATGTCTGGAGGTCCCAAAAATTATGCTTACCTTACCTCCAAGGGAAATTCCATCCTTAAAGTCAAAGGATTAACTCTTAATTATCGGGCTTCTAATATCGTATCCTTAGAGACTTTAGAAAAAATGCTCAAGAAAGAAATAGATGAAGTCACAGTGTCTTATCCTTACAAAATACAGAGGACCCGAGATCATCAAGTCAAGACAGTACCTTTAGAAAAACAATATAGAATTGTTTACGATAAGAGACAGATCTTGAAAGATTATAACACTTTACCTTATGGTTATTAAAAATGATTTGTTATTAACTATAAATAAAGCATTGAAACTACCTTTGTCTTCATTTGTCATCATGCAACATGAGGAGACACCTCTCCCCTCTTTTCTTTTAAAACATGAATTTACCATGGTGGTAGCAGGACCTTCTAAATCTGGCAAAACCGAATTTGTCAAGAAATTAGTAGAAAATTTACATTGGATTACCCCCATGCCACAAAAAATTGTGTGGTGTTATCGGGAATGGCAACCTGCTTACACTTCTCTAAGAGATCGGGTGTCTTTCATTCGAAATATTCCCGAAGACGATGAGAAATTAGTGGCTAATTTAAATATACCACACTTACTCATTTTTGACGACATGATGGGAGGAAAAGCCATTGAATCCATCGTGGATTGGTTTACCCGTAAAGCTCATCATCGGAATACCAGTGTGATTTACATCACTCAGAATTTATTTGATAGGGCAGCATCACATCGCACCATTAGTTTGAATGCTCATTATTTAGTCTTGTTTAAAAATCCCCGAGACAAATCTCAAATCAGTGTCTTGAGTCGTCAGTTAGCCTTACCTCATTTGATGTCCGCTTATCAAGAAGCTACCAATGTTCCTCATGGGTATCTCTTGGTGGATTTGAGTCCACACACCCCAGACGAATACAGATTGAGAAGTCGATTGTTTGAATGGTTAACTATACACATGCCTCAAGAGTATAAATAAAAATGTATCATCCTCACCCTTGTCATTTATCATTCAACTCTCATCATGGCACCATCAGCCAAGAGTAAATTAGTGAAAACTTTAAGACGTTTACAGCGGGAAAAAGATCCTGCTAAGCGAGCTCATTTAATTGAATTAGGGCGTAAAGCCTTATTGAATTGGTTTGCTATGGGAGCTCGAAATTTAATGAAAGGAGTATTACCCATTTATAAACAGACTCAGAGATTTATTGATCATCATCGTCAAGATTTAGGTATCATCGCTGATAAATCAGCTACCGAGGAAGACAGAAAAAAAGCCATTTTAAAACGTGGCGGAGCAGGATTTTTAGGAGGAGTCATCATTCGTCATTTATTTAAATGGAATACCCCTAAAAAACGACGTGCTCGTCGTTTGAAAAGTGTAGTGGTAAGAGTCCAGAACAAAAAGACAAAAAAGAGAGTTTTACCAAATTGGATGGTTCGACTAGGTGGGGGGTCAAACAATAAGAAAAAACCTTCTCAAAAGAAGAAGAAGAAAAGAAAAAATCCAAAAACTCCAGGTCCACCTAAAACTCCAGCTCAACGTAAAGCTATGCCTAAAAGTCTAAGAAATGAAATTAATCAGTATTATAAAGAACAAAGACAAAAAACTATTGGAGAGTTATTAAAGAAACAAGCTGAAATGAGAATGGATCGTGCTATGGCACCCATAGGCAGTCAAAGAGCCCCGGATTTATTTCCTCAAGTTAATGTTGGAATTCCTTCTCCTGGAATTAAAGTACCCATACAGACTCCTAAAATAGCCCGCTTTCAACCTTTATCTGCTTCTACACCTAAACTTCCAAAAGGAATGAGATATAAATGCCGATATTGTTCCAAAATCTATGTCACCGAAAAAAATAGAGATAAACATGAGAAAGACAAACATGGCATGTATGCTCCTCCTCCTTAAAAGAGTATAAAAGGAGGACACACTGAGGGACACCTCTTCATTATTTGAAAAGGATGGCTAAGAAGAAGAAGAAGACTTGTTGTTCTACAAGATTAAAATCTCATGGGGCTCTTTTAAGAGTGTTATCTAATCCTCATTATTCTTCACCCTTAAAGACAAGTATTTTAAAACATTGTTCTGGAGATTGTATTCTGAAGATTTGTGAGATTGTGTACAACCTATTAAAAGGAGTGTTACCTCTCAGTTCGGTTCAGAAACGAAAACTAGCTGGAAAGAAACACATCTTAAGGAGACTAATTCAACCTCAATCTATTCAGAAAAGACGAGCTTTGTTAGTCCAGCAAAAAGGAGGCCTCTTCCCTCTTTTACTCGGTCCTTTACTTATAGGAGCAGCATCTCTCCTAGGGGGAAAATGAGTCGTAAAATGGTATTAGTTCCTGAAGTCTTATTGAATGAACTTAAAGGAAAATTACCGAAACCTCCTGAATTTCAAACTACTCTCAGTTTAGGTCAGGAATTAGAGGACATTACAAGACGTGAAGATTTAACCCCAGAAGAAAAAGTCGCTTTATATGGTCAAGAACTTCATCGCTATAGAAATTATTTAGAAAAAGCTAGACAACAACCTACAAAAACTCGATTAGCTCAACCATCAGCTCAACCAGCAGCAGCAGCAGGAGCTCCAGCAGCAGCAGCACCAGCAGGAGCACCCCCAGCAGTAGCACCAGTACCCCCATCCCCTGCAGAAGCAGCAGCAGGATCACCAGCAGCCCCAGCTGAGATTGAAGATGAAATTCTTCAAACCGTCAATAAAAACATGAAAAGAAAAGCTGGATTATTATTAAATCATTTAAAGAAAAACCCTAAAGTGTTAACTTGGAATAAAGAAGGTGAAATTAGTTATCGAGGTCAAAAAGTTGCCAATTCTAACATTGTGGATTTAATGGCTGATAGTATGAGATCTCATACTCTGAAAAATCATCCGGTTCCTACAGGATTAGAACAATTTGCTCAAGCTTTAAAAGAGACCCGTACTCCTTTGGAATACCTGAGTAATGGAAACCTTATAAAAGCCATGCAGAAACCTGGAAAAATCAGTACTCCTAAAAGTCAAGAAAGAGACGATAGTGGATTTTCTTCCTTTTTAGACACTCCAGTAAGTAGTCCTATAGAAGATCCAGGAACCGTCATTAAAAAACCCATTTCAACTCCTGTTGGGACAAGGGAAGGATCCAAATATAGTCCCTTTAGAGCTCGACAGAAATTAAAAACCAAACTCGAAGAAGAAGAAAAGAAATTAGCAAAAATTGAAGAAAATTGGCTTCCTTTACCTAAGAAGAAATGAAAAAGAAACAAGTGGAAGATATTTTAAAAGAGATTTATTATGATCCTAAAAGAGGGTACGGAGGAATACAAGCTTTGTATCGTCAGGTCAAACCTTTAGGAATTTCCCTGAAAAAGATTCGAGACTGGTTAAAAGAACAAGATACTTATACTTTACATAAACCCATTCAAAGAAAATTCCGCTGACAACAAACTAGAGTGACCGATATAGATGAACAATGGCAATTAGATTTAGCAGATGTGTCCAGTTTAAAGAAATATAATGATGGATATACTTTTTTACTGTGTGCCATTGACGTCTTATCTAAATATGCCTGGGTAGTGCCTTTAAAACAGAAAACGGGAAAAGAAATGATTCGAGGATTACAAGAGATTTTTCAACAAGACGGACGACGTCCCATTCGCATTCAATCTGATCAAGGCAAAGAATTTACCAATAAAGAATTCTTACACACTTTTAAATCCATTCATTTTTTTACCACTCGTAATACGGACACTAAAGCCAGTATCGTGGAACGATTTCAGAGAACCCTCAAAGCACGCATGTGGCGTTATTTCACTCGTCATAAAACCAGACGATATGTAGACGTCTTACCGGATTTAGTATATGCTTACAATCATTCTTATCATCGAAGTATTAAAAGAGCACCAGCTCAAGTGAATGCTTCTAATGTATTAAAAGAGTGGAAAACTTTATATGGGAAAAAATCTCAAACATTCCCTAAAAAACCTCAATTTAAACAAGGAGATCGGGTCCGCATTAGTAAAGCTAAACGCACTTTTGAAAAAGGATATTTACCCAATTGGACTACAGAATTGTTTACCATTTCTAAAAGAGTACCTGGAAGATATCCTTATGTGTATAAAATCCAAGATGATCATGGTGAGGAATTAGAAGGCACTTTTTACGAGAAAGAATTACAACAGATTAATAAAAAAGATGATGTGTACGAAGTAGAAGAAATTTTGGGGTATAAAAAGCGACGTGTAGGGAAAAAAATCATTCAAGAAGTCAAAGTGCGGTGGAAAGGATATCCTCCTAGTTTCGATTCATGGATTCCCCAAACGGATCTCATTCAATAACGCCTCATTGGAAATTTTGTGGAGAGAAAGTGCCTCGAGAAGAAATTGTTTATTTTGCACAATTATTCATCTGTGTATCTCTCATCATTACCAGTGTGGTCATGTTAGCTTTACATGATACTAATCGAGAATATTGGATGGTCTGTGTGAGTTCTTCCGTAGGATACATTATGCCTAGTCCTACCCTAATGCATCATACCCCTAAGAAGACCACAAATCCAGGGAGTCTAAAAATAGAGACACAATAGAGTATATATAAAAATAGATACAAATCCAGAGAGTCTAAAAATAGAGACACCATAGAGTATATAAAATGGAACAAGTCCAAAAAAATTGATCATTTCTGATTTCACAGAGAGACAGAGCACATACAAAAAAAAATACAATGGAGTATTTAAGCTCAGAGTATTGTTGGAAAATGAAAGGTTCTACTAAGAAAGGAGAATGGATGAAAAACAAACAAGAATGTATTCAAGATTTCAAAGATAAGAATCCAGGAAAACAAAAAGATGCCACCCTGTATAAGAGAATGAAGTTTCCAGACCATCCATGGGTAATAACACATAAGATGGCAATATTAGGGGGTCGAAAGGAACCTAAGTATCAGGAATTCAAATGGAAAGTGAAATATGTCTTGTTTCACAAACAAAAAGGACCAGAAAGGACTTGGATTCAAGGAAAATGGATGGAAAGAGCCAAAGAGTGTATCCAAGATTATCTGAAAGTGCTCTTAAAAGGATACAGTATCATGGACTGTGCTTGTGAAACAGAATATTTGTACATGAGAAGATCTTTTCCCATAGATGAAACAAAAGAAGTGTACAAAAGTTTTGAATGTTTATTAATATGATTGTTTTGTTATGATTGTTGTTATTATGAATAAAAAAGTCACACACACAAAAAAAATTACAAGTCTTATTTTTTGATCTGTATC